TTATTGCTATGTCTCCTGGCAATCTTGATTCCAGCTTGTGATTCAGCCAGTCTGGCATTTCACTTGATATACTCTGCATAGCAATTAAATAAGCAGCGTGACAATATATAGCCTTGATGTACTTCTTTCCCAGTTTGGAACTAATCCATTGTTCCATGTCTGGCTCTAACTGTTGCTTCTTGACCTGCATACAGGTTTCTCGAGCAGCAGGTAAGGTGGTCTGGTAGTCTCATCTCTCTTTAACAATTTCCCACAGTTTGTTGTGATCCACACAGTCAAAGCCTTTAGCGTAGTCAAAAGAAAGTTAGGAAGTACAATAGAATACAGTTTTAGGACTGGAGAGTTAAACTGAAAAATTAGGGAAAGGAATTTCCCTGAGAAAGAACAGCATTCTGAAGTGCATTAGCTAGGCACACATTGTGGGGGAAGGGCACTTCAGCAGGGGGACATACTAAAATACACACGAAAGTGTGCCAAGAGGAAGGAGTTTGGTGCACTGGACAACCCAGAGAGGGCAGTATGGCTACACCCTAAAGAGGAAGAGGAGAAAGAAAGTGATGAAGGTGGAGAAATATGCAGTAGCTAGGTCCCATGTGACACTACCATCCGTATGACTCCAATTTGTAAGTTTCTGGCTCTTATCTAACAAATACAATGACACCATGAATTATTTTTACTAAATTTTGACTTTATTGACTTTCAAAACAGAAACAGTTGCACTAAAGCTGACAATTCATACAGACAGACAGACACACACACACACACACACACACACACACAGCCTCCCCCACACACATTATATAGAGACCTTCCCTGAGGGCCATATAGTTTGGCATTGTTATAAGTCTATTCTATAGCCACATATATGATTCTGGGTCAGCTGGGTAATTAATTGAAAATTGTCTTCATATTCATTTTCCTTCCCTAGGAATGTTTCCTGCAGAAAGACTCAGAATATGAAGCTTTCTAGAACAGTTCTGAAAAATGTTGCCTGCCAGCAACTATTCTCTATTGTCTTTCAGGACTTGTATCCACCCAGCTGACACATCCATTTCCCCTGAAGAGCAAGTAGATTCTTGCTCTGCCCTGTGCCTTACTATTGGCAAGGCGGTGCAGGAATATATTGTAGTTCTGTTTACCACCAGGGTAAACGGCCCTCCTATAACATTCTTGTAGAAAGCCATTTTGGGGGGTTCAGTAAAGTCTCCCTCTATTTACAGGTACTGAAAATAACATACACACACACTCTAGACATTGCACCCACTCCTTACTGCCAAGGTTAATTAATCAGGCCCTTAGCACTTTAGACCTCATAACAGATTCGTGTATTCATGATGATATCCATTCTGTTATTTTCTGAAAATAAATTATTTTGTTTGCTTTCCCAGTTCTACCAAGCTACCTTACTTTTCTTCTCCACTCTTACTTTTCAACTACTCATAACCGTGCCTTTTAAGCTGCCATTTTATTGAAAGTAATAAATTAAGACATTCATCTTCAGTGGTTTCACCTTTGCATAAGAGTCAGCAACTTACACACTAGCATGCTCACAGTGTTAAGCAGATAGGAATTCAACTCAGTAGCAAAAACATTCACTGACCTTAGAAAGAAAACTTTCCATTTATAGTTACTGGCTAGTCTTACAGAGTTGCAACTTTCCAACACAGTATAATACTTTAAGATTAAATATTTTGAGGAATTTGTATCTTCTGTGCCTCTTCCCCAAAATGAAGCCATTGGCCACTTGCTGAGACTGATTTTGCTGGAGGTACTGAGTCTACAGCTGGTCATCTTGGGAGTCAGTGCTTATGATGGATCCTTGGCTGCTGGTGTCGGCAGTTTCATAGCACTTTTGGTCTTTGGCAAAGTTGATGAAAACCTGATTTTTCAAGGGAAATGAAGCCATTAGCACTTGTAAACCAAAGGAAGAAATAAGGGGTATGCATTTGTGTGGTGTGTGCACAATGGGAGAGCAAATAAAAAGAAAACTAGATTTCACAGTGCTAAGTTGCTTCAGTTGTGTCCAACTCTTTGTGACTCCATGGACTGTAGCCCACAAGTCTCCTCTGTTCATCGAGTTTTCCAAACAAGAATACTGGAGAGAGTTGCCATTCCCTCCTCCAGGGGGGTTCTTCTGATCCAGGGATCAAACTGGTGGTGTCTCTTACGACTCCTGCACTGGCAGGCAGGTTCTTTACCACTAGTGCCACCTGCGAAGCCCCAGATTTCATAGGGGCACACCCGAATATATACACAAACTCTCATTAGGAATCCTTCCTTTAGGTATTGAAATTTAACTGGGGTTTGAAAATAGTACCTTTGATTACATTTATAATCATAATAAATGATAAAATCTAAAACTATAATTGAATACCTATAGCCATACACTTGTGTCTATTTGATCTGTATCAGTATCTTTCAAGTATAAATAAGGAGCCCAACCCAAGCTCCTATCAAACATTTCTACGATGACGTTGAGAGAAATTTCACGAGTTTTAAGAATTAATACACTGAAATAAAATTTGTATGCAAATATCACATTATGTTCCTTATGCTTACTATTTAACAGGCAGACCTTTACGACTTTGTTTAAAATCATCAATTCTATTAGTCATAGATTCATCCAGAAAATTTTGAGAGACATGATACTGGTAACTGCTTACAAGTTCAAGGATAAATCTGTGTTGGCAAAGCCATAATTGCCTTAACTCTCCATAAATAAAACTCTCTGTAAGATGCAGCAAGATTTGGAGGCCACTTTAGCCTCCCTTTCAGGCCCTCTCCAGTGACAAGTACAATCAGATGCTCTATATGTTAGATTGGTTAAACTGTATAAAACTAAAACAGTGCAAAGGTAAAGGAGGATGCTCCATGAAGCCTCCACTTACTGTATATAAATGTAACTAAGACAGGTGATTTGAATGAAATAAAAGAATCCTGCATTTACCATTATGGTTGCCTTAATCTAGCAGATCTAAAGCTTTGGCACCAAAATCTCACTAGATAACCCCATCCTCCCTTAATCTAGAAAGCAAATCAATAGAAATGTTATTTAAGAAATATTCCAAGGAGAAAGGAAGGAAAGTGTTAACAGTTATTTGTTAAAGATGAAAATAATTGTTGCTTTACATATACAGACAACTGATGGGTACAGATGTCTTAGAGAAGGAAAACAAATTTTTTCTCCATTAAAATTAGTTAACTCCACATTTTTTAATAACATCCCAAAATGCACTTAAAAATAAATTAACCTAAATTTTTCAGGTGCAAGATTAGATATTGCTTCAATTAAAAATAAATTGAAGGTCATTAAAAAGAAATAATTATGTATAATTAAATTTAAAAAATAAATAAATAATCAGAATGTATTAATGTGACATTGTGTACATGGACCATGGTATCCAGCCTACCTCTTCCAGAGTGGTCTGACTCACTAAGAAATTTGTGATATTTAAAGCAGTCTTGTTGGCCTCCAGAAGATCAAAAATGTTTGCTACTCCTCCTGCAGTGACTGGCACATGATATTCTAACATGCTGAGATGCTGATCCTGTGGGAACCAAAGGGGGGAAAAATTTTATTTATCAATGTCAGGTAATACTGAGTAGACTAGACATAACTTGACCAAGAGCTAAGAAACACACTGAAATTCATTCCTCTGGAAGTGATCAGTTCAGTTCAGTCACTCAGTCGTGTCTGACTCTTTGTGACCACATGGACCACAGCACGCCAGGCCTCCCTGTCCATCACCAACTTCCAGAGTTTACCCAATCATGTCCATTGAGTCAGTGATGCCATCCAACCATCTCATTCTCTGTCATCCCCTTCTCCTCCTGCCCTCAATCTTTCCCAGCATCAGGGTCTTT